GTTCAATCCCCGCCTGCCCCGGAGGAGATCCACATGGCGCAGCAGACCTCTCCTGACCCACCCGCTGCTCCCCTCAGCAGTGTACTTCGTAGATCTGCCAGTTCTGCTCCCCACTCTGTCTTTTGTGATTCCTCTCACCACCCCTGCAGCTATGGCCTGTACCCCAGTTCTGCATGCATAGATAAATCTTTAAAAAACTGTATGAGCCTTAATATTTCTTCATGAAGTTGGAGCCTCGCTGTGATGGCTGTGGCGTAAGATGAGCATTGGCTGGAGAAGTTGCTTGTGGGCAGTGCAAGTGGCAACGGGCGACTGGCATTTTACTACTTGCCTCTAGGGGCCCTGCTGGGGCTCAGGCTGCAGGTGGAGGTCAGCAGGAATGGCCGGTGTCAGTGGTTCCTCTACCATGTCACCCTAGGGCTTACAGCCCCTGGTTCAGGGGGAGACATGGGGTCCCGCAGGCCAGTGCCAGCACGGTGGTTCCCTCCAGCTGCAGGCAGTAGAGAGGCCTGTGGATGTGGTGCCTGTATCATAGTGGACAGTGGACAGTGTGAGCTATGAACTGATTGGGAAATGAGCCAACCTGCCACAGCACTGAAAATGTTCCAGTCAGATTGATTGGGGGGAGGAGCCAGGTCAGGACTCTCAGATCTTTGATGGGCATTCTTAGGGTAAATGGATTGATCAGACTTTTTTTCACCACCGATGTCTGTGGCTGACACCTGTGGCCTTGATGGTGTCTGAAAAGCAGAAGGCACCTGGGCGTGTGGGCATGGGACACATGTGCCTGGTTGTGGGCACTTGGAGTGTGCATGTGGGCACGGGTAAACATGCACACCTGAACTGCGGGTGAAACTAAAAGCTGCAGCAGTAGTGAGGGGGTCGCTCGGGGTGACTACCGACCAGAGAGGCGAGTCGCTGCGACAAAGCCAGAGAGAAAGAGTGTGAAGATTCGCAGGGTCGTGGCTCCTTGCCTGCCAGCCTCCCAGCATCCTTCCCCACCCCCTGCCTGTGCTTGCCTCCTTGTGTGCCAGCCTCCTTGCCTGTGTACCTGGTTTCCTGAGAGAGCATGAAAAGCTGTAAAATCTACTGAGGGCTCCAGGACTCTCTCTGTCCATCTGAATCCATAGTGACCTGTCCTGGCTTGCTGGAAGGCAACCGGGCATTGTTCCTGGCCTTTGAGGTAAGAAGAGACTCCTGTTCTTTTACTCTGTTATTGGCCTCTGAGATAATATTCAGCTCCTGATCTCAGAGGAAGAAGAGAAGCCGAAAAGCTTTGCATGGGCAGGGACTGCTGCCCTCCAGCTCAGCCTCTGACATCGCCTGAAAGGGGCATCAAAGGCCTTGGCTTGGCACCTCAAGGAGCTATTTGTTGGTGTGGCCCAGCAACTCACAAAGAGCTGTGATGCTGGCGTATCTGTGATGCTGGTGACCTGTGGTGACTGGCGCTACTGGCCCGTGCTACCCAGCACTGTTGATGGGTGACCAGCACTCTGTGTCTGGGTCACCTCTGAGAGTTGGTAACTTCTGCCTGTCCAGCATCACCTCCTAGTGCTGCTGCCTCTGTTGCTGTTCGGTCCATCGTCCAGTGCTGTGCACTCGGACCTTCAGACTGTTGCTGTGGCTGCTGCAGCGCCATCTCAGCACCCCACCTGGCCCGCAGCTTGCTGGCTGTGACGTGCTACAGGCCCTTGAGGTGGGGTGATGCCATCATGGATGATCGGCCTTTTGTTAAGGACTTCTGTCGACACTGGACACTATCTGGGGTGAGCTAGTTGGCCACTTGTGGCCTTGGTAACTTTCTGTTCCCCCTGTTTGTTAAATAAATCCATTACTGTTGGTCCCTGAGCCTTCATGCTCTTGCAATTGTGCGTGGGGGTGAGAACCCACAGACAGTGACCTGTCCTCTGCTGGGCACTGTCCTTTTGATGCTAAAGCCTCTGCTAGAACTCTGTTTAACTTGCATTTCCATTAAGCTTAGAGAAGGTAATGTTTGTGTAGTTGCATTTGGTAAGTGGTAGCTTTTATAGTAAGGGACTCGCGGTAGGACATGCTTCCTGCGTTTGTGTCAGTAGGATTTCAGTTGTGCTTTGGAGTCTCGGGATTGATACATACCACGTTCTTGCCCTGAGTTGTGTCTCTGTTCAGAGTGATATGACTAGTGAGACTGAGTTGTGGGGTACGTATAGTGTAGAACTTTACTGTGAAATTCCACTGATATACTTATTTCAAACTGGTGATTGGAGTGGTCCACTTAACTTTTGTGCCACTCAAACCTCTAGGGATTGAGTACTGTTTGTCAGGCAACGGCAGGTGACCCTTGACCTATAGCATCTCCTTTGCTGTTTAGAAAGACCCTGTGGAGTGGGAACTGCAGCTTGCAATTGAGGTTATTCCGGCTTTAGAGTGTCCTCCTCAATCGGCTTGTCAGACTTTACAAAAGTACAGGCAATATAATGAACATTGAACAAAAAATTATTTATTTGAAATTCAACTTTGAGTGGGGTCCTGTTGTATGTTGTTACCTTGATTAGTTTCTTAGTTCACACAGCAAGTAAAGGAGAATTGGGCTTGGCTCCATCTGATATTGAAACTCATATTTTAACCTGTTTTCTCTTTAAGAAGTCAGAAATTGACTTCAGATGTGGAAGAGGAGGAAGAAATGCTATCGATTGAGGTTTAATGTCCACTTTACTCACTGTAAATATAGTGAAAGATAATCCCATGCTAATTCTAGTGATTAAAAATGGAGGAAACTGAGCCCTCCCTGGTGGTGCAGCAGGTTGGGACACAGTACTGGGAAGCTAAAGCCACTTTAGCATGAGTTCAATCCCACCCGAGAGGTGACCCACATGGCGAGGCAGACCAATCCTGACCCGCTCACTGCTTCCCTCAGCAGTGTACTTCGTCAGTCGGCCTGTTCTGCTCCCCACTCTGCCTCTGGTGAATCCTCTCACTGTTCCTGCACCTCTGGCTTGTACCCCAGTTCTGTATGTATAAATAAATCTGTAAAAAAAATGGAGGAACCTGAAAATAATTAAGATAACTATTATATATGCCAAAGACTGTGCTAGAACTAACCTGGAAAGAGCACACCCATTTTAAATGAGGGTTTAGGATAAGTGAAGGATGTTAAGGTTGTGTGGTTATTGAGGTGAGCCTCAGAGAAAGTACCACTGTCCCCCAAAGCCTCTTGGCCTGGACGTGATGATGCTCAAAGAACCTTCTTCTAGGAGGATACTGGGAAGTAATCAGAGGCCACCAGGTGTTGCGTGCCCAGTGCCCCTGCCTGCTTACCTTAGCAAGAGTGTGCTGGACAGAAGGTTCTTTGCTAACGTTGAAGAATTGGGTATTTAATAATGGGTCACTCTCAAAAAGCCATGAGTGTTTCTTGGTGATTTGACAACCCTTCTTTGTGTGGGCATCACAAGTTGCAGAGGGGGGTTTTGGAAGGAAAAGGAAAGGGGTGTTTTCCAAGCCTTCTGTGGAAGCAGTTTGGCTTCGCTTTTGTAGACTGAGTGGAAAATCATCCTAATGATGCCGTTTGCTTTTCAGGTAGCTTTGGAGGTCAGAAGTCAAAGATTCTAGAAATCCATTATGTGGCACCTCTTTTGTGTTAGGCAAACACTACTGTCTTTTTGTGTAAGATGAATTGGAGTTGGTATTTTTGAGATGTCTCAAATTTTGGGGTGCCATGGGTGTTGGGAATACTGGTTTTCAGTTGAGCATGGAAATCCTCTGCCATTCTGTGTCAATGTAAAGCCTCAAGACCAGCAGGATAATAACAAAATAATTGTGATTCTGAGTACTTTGTATCTACTCTTGCAATAAAGCTGAAGTGGGAAATAGGATGCCAAGGAACAGAGAGCATTTAAAGAATGTGCTCAAAATCACACAGCTGGTTGGTGATAGAACCAGATTTTGAACCTAGACTCGTGGATTTCTAAACTCCTAGCTGCTGTTTGTGTGTTTGTGAATGTTGATGGGTAGTCTGCATGATAGGTAGACTGATTGTCACGTCCACCTTAAAATTCAGACTTATCAGGTGTATTTAAGAACTAATAGTGGGGCTATTAATTGGGTGAGAGTCATAGCAGTTAGAAACAGTGAATGGGAATGGGGGAGAAGTCAAGGAGCTGTCTACACCAGTGATCCTGCAGGAAATGGAGTAAAGGGGTTGATATGACAGCGTGTACAGAATGGGAGGAGAAAGGGGCAATAGTAATTGATACTAGAAAGAATTCTGGGGGTCAGGGAGTTATTATCATGATGGAGAGATCTAGTTACAACTCTTATATGCAACACTACAGTAAATTGCTGTGGCATATTTGCCTGTCTTTATGAAGAAGTTGTTTCAAACCCTCACAGAACACTAATATTTCCTTCAGGGAAAATCGTACTCTATTAAGGTGCTGGTTCATTCACTAAAAACTGGCCTTTTCCCCAGTCTCATTCATGCTACTTTCCTTGCCCACTGGGATGTGACTTTCACCTGAGAAGTAGTCCTCACTGCTTAAGTGGTGGGAAGCTGTAATCCCTTTAGTTGAACTTGGAAACATTTCAGTCTTTTCTGGGATCAATGCTAGGTGTGTGTGAGAGATAAAGACAAAAATCAAGGAAACCTGTAATACTTTCAATAAGCCTGTGCTTAACCCAGATGGCACAAAAGTAGCGGACAGTCTGCAGGGCTAACATGCAGCTTCGTTTACAAAGGATTTTCTTTGCCTCCAATGAGACTACGCTGGCTACGGAGCAGCATGTGTGTCTCTGCCTGTGTGCATGTTCATTTTCTGCATTCAGTCTGCGTCACTATCCTGGTAATCAATGCTGCTCTGTGGCCTCTGTAGGTGAGGAGGGTTCTCTGATGGCTAAAGACTGACACTTCCCAGACATTAAATGTGCATCATGCCTGGAGGGCTCTGAGCGCTGAGCTGAGCTTGCAGTCTCAGACCCAGAGTAGCCACAGCGCCTGCATTCCCACAAAGGCGGCAGCCCTGAGCAGAAGCTTCCAGTGCTCTTATCTGCCTGCGCTTTTCACTTTGAGACAAAGTTCTGTAATTACAGCTCATGGATTTATTTCCTCCACCTTGTAAAAGCCTGAATTGTGAAGACCTCATGGCATGAAGGGCAGCAATGAGTCAAGCTCTTGGGACTGCTAAGGATTTCTTTGCCATCCTCCCACCCCTTCCTTTTTGGAGATGTGTATCAGGAAAAGGCTTCGCCTTTAACGAGAAATTTTACTGCTCTTGCCAATAATGTGTGGCAATATTAAATTTAATGGCAGACCTTGAAGTGTATAAAAACTTGAGTCCAGAAAAAGGTAAGAGTCATACACTAATTTTAAGGTAAGTGTAATGATCCTAGTAAAAAAATGATATGTATTTCTTATTTTATTTCATGTGTAGTTAAGTTAAAGATTTATTTGTACCCTTGGTACCCATAGTGAAGATAATTTTGTACGCATGAGATGAAAAGATAGCAAAGTACCTGTGATGAGACAAAGTGGTTTTTCCTTGTAAATGTATACTTTCATAATGGTTGGATTGCATGCTGATAGAGAACAGCCTTATAATGAAGTGGTGTGGTCAGTGACAAAACTACTTGTATTATTAGTCAAGGATATAGACGTTTAAAATTTTCACTTGACAGTCACAAACAGTGGATTTTAATTGAAAACATTGTCAAGTCAGAATGCAAATTCTGATGAATAAAGCTGTATTTTAACTTGTTACAATAGTCTGGCCAATTTATATTAATTAAGGAGAGTCATGAATAATTATGTTTATGGCATGAGTGGGCTAAGTATTCAGCATAGATAAAATGGAGGCAGTGCCCATTTATCATGTTCTTGGAGCCTGTCTGTCAGCCCCAGCAGCAGGAGAGAAACATTTTAAAGTATGAGTATGGAGATCAAAAATTTAAAATATATGGAGATTATTTCTGAGTCAGAAGAAATGTTCCTGACTGGTCAGATAGAATAAATGACATGTCAAAAAACATCTTCTAAACTTACTTTCCACCTGAAATTTGTCACTTCAGATCGCTGGTGTGTGTGTACCTGCATGTGACTTCATCATGTCAGTGCTCTGCCTGAGATGAGAGCCTGCCTGGAGATTGCTGCTTGTCTTTGCTGTCGACTTGAATGTACCAGGCTCACAATCCAGAACTGAAGCCTGTTTTTTATTCAAAATATAAATGAACCTCTGGTTGAACATTCCTGAGTTTAACTGAGTTTTCTAAGTCTTGGAAGAACCTTATAAATAGAAGCAGGGTACAGCTTGCTATACTCCTTAGGCAGCTTGTCAGAGGATTTTCCATTCAGAGTTTTGTCTTTATTGTGTTTGGAAACTCCTGTGATGTGGGTATAAACTGAATTGCATAGCATACATTTGAGTTTGTCTTACTTGACACTTTTTGGAAGTAATGATGAAAATGACTTTTGCTATATCAAGTTATCATTAACAATGAATTAAAGATGAAGCTTTGCTTCATAAACATTATGGAAGTTTGAATGAATTTTACTAGTCAGAGAAGCTTTTAGATTTTTGTCATGAGCACATAGTTCATAGTTTATTTAATAGATTTTCAGTGCTGTTTTAATGATTTATTTTGCTGATTAGTCATCTTGGTATTAAATTTGTCTGAGTGGGTAGCAAGACAACTTTCAAAGAAATTTTTTTGCTGAATTCCGATCAATTTTAAAGTGGAACATCTTAAATTAATAGATTCTGAATTCTCATGAAACCTGAGTTGGGTTGTTAAATAGTCATGTTAGTGGAAGTGTTTTCATTTGACAGGAATCAACGTTGAAAAGTGTTTAGTTAGAACTGGGAAGAGCAAAGAAAAGATCCCTGAGTTTTAATGGTAGATGTTTTGTCTTAAAACTGTATTTTAATTGGAAAACTTATTTGCTCCCACCTTTTAAAATAAGCATAAATTTATTATTGTTAATTATTTTTTGCTTCATAATTTAGTACAGTGTACTAAATCTCTGAGTCAGAAGGAATCATAGTGATTCTTAAAACAGCACTCAATAGTAAGGCACTTGAATCACAACATAGAAACAGAAGTCAGAGCAAGCTTCAGGCATTTAAGGCAAGTGTTTTTATAATCTTGTTATGTCTGAACCCAAACTTCCTTTAGAAACAAGAGATAATGCTTTTTTTCTTTTCTTTCTTTCTTTCTTTTCTTTTATTTTTTTTTGCTTATTCACAAGGTTGTTAAAAGAGTTACTGATTTAATGTCTCTGAAAGCTCTTGGGAGGTGAAACAGGACCCCAGCAATGTAAAATGTATTGCAGTCATAGATACAGGAGCAATGCACATTTCATCTACTTGAATTAAGAAGAAACTGTTTTTGTTTTGTGGGTGCAAATATCATTAGAAAGCACTTTGACCTACAATGCTGGTACCACCTGCCACTAATTTTCCCCTTGGCTTAGGATAACCTATATACCCTGCAGTGTGCTTTCTGCAAACGCCTTATGGGAGGCCTGATGTCTGTGTAGGAGAGTCCTAGATTTCTAGAGCAGGAAAAACCCATGGCCATCTCACTGTTTTTTAAGGAGGAAAAAAATACTGACTGCAGAGTTTCTCTAAGACTCGGAGCAGACCTGTGGCTGCAATCAAGTCTTCTGTTTCCCCGACCATGATGGCGGGGCCTGCACTTCTTCATCACACAAGTTTTGCTTTTAGGAGGTGCCAGACATTTAGAGACTCGTGATTTCTCTCATGTTATATTATTTGAATTCTTAGGATAAGGCCATTTTTGGAGAGGAAAGTTAAGATTTTGTTGTGAAATCCTTGTATTGCTTTATGTAAAAGGTTCTGGTTAGGGATATGAAGATGAATCCACATTAACCTCTCTTCCAGTAACTCATGCTTTAATGCAAAGACTTGCATATGATACTGCAATTTTGGCAGCACTGTATTCAAGGCACCTTGAGTGTGGAGAAGTCTACAAAGGATTTCTGGAAGCAAAATTTGAACTGAGCCTTGAAGGATAAGAAGGAATGTTTTGGATAGATAAACAAAAAAGGAGGAGGAAGAAATAGGTGCAAAAGTCATATGTTACAATAAATCCCACCTAATCCAGGTTAAGAAATATGGACATTTTCCCTCATTTTCCAATCTTCCCTTGGTCCCCCCCCCTTGTCCCCCTTTCCTTTTTGAATAAAGATTTTAAAGTTAGAAGAGATTAATTAGATTTGAATTTTAGAATGATTTTTCTGACCATGGCTTAGACTGATGGGAAGATGAGGCTGAAGTAAGGGAGGTTGAGAAGGTGTTGCAGTGAGTAGGTGAATGTACAGTGATCTCAGCTCATGTTTCCTAGCTTAAATGATGGGTCATGAGAAAGCACCGAACTCTCAAATTTCACAGTGGTTTCTTTGCCTGTGACCAGTACTGAGGGAGGATTCTCACTGCATCTTCTGCTTTTTCCTTTATTCCTCAGTTCCTGTCTTGTAATTGAGATAAATTAGCTGCAGGTAGGTAACTGTCTGATAAGAAATCTAACATTTCTGTTCTTATGAAGTTAGTGACCTCTTGTCCATAAGACAGCTTTACGCCTCATCAGGAATATCTCTATTATTCTTTTATGGAGAACAGAAAATTATCTTCACAAGAAGCTCAGAAAAACCCAGCTCAATTTTTTTTGAAAGAATGCTCTATTTTTTTACATATTGCTAGATTTGAGGCAGTATTTGACTCCCCCCCACGCCCCCCCCCCCCAGTTCTTCCACCACAGCACCATCACCAAAGTCACTTATCCTCTTCTGACTCCCCTCTCCCCCTCCCCTGTATGGGCCTCAGGTGTGTGGGCAGCTTGCAAATTTAGTCTTTTATATTTTTTATTCCCTGACACTTTATTTGGGTTCTCTGTATTCTGCACATAAGTGAAACCATCCAATATCATTTTTCTTCTGACTTATTTCACTTAACGCAGTCCCTTCCAGCCCCGTCTACGCCACCACAAATGGCATGCCAACTCTCATCCGTTAGCTCACAGGATGTTTGAAAGTCATCACATCACTTATATAATCTACTGAAATGAGAACTAGAGTAAGGAGGTCAGGGGCCATCTCTTGGAACTAGCTTTGAAAATGACTAGTCTTTTATTTTATTTTTAGGATTTATTTACTTATGCATACAGAACTGGGGTACAGGCCAGAGGTGCAGGGGTGATGAGAGGATCTACCAGAGACAGAGTGGGGAGCAGAACAGGCCGACTGACAAAGTACACTGCTGAGGGGAGCAGCGGGCGGGTCAAGAGAGGTCTGCGACACCATGTGTATCATTTCCAGGGCGGGGATCGAACTCATGCTGAAGTGGGTTTAGTTTCTTAGTGCTGTGCTTTAACCCACTGTGCCACCAAGGAGGGCCCACAAGCTTAATTTTAGATGATAGTGTCTGAGGAAAAGGACAGATTCTAAAGACTGCTGCATAGATGATGGCATCAAATGTATTAGAAAAAGCTGAGCCCTGATGATAATTCTGACAATCAGCCATGTTCCTAATTCAGTGAGGTGAGTATAGTTGCTATCTTCATCTTGGGGATGATTCTGAGGAGAGATAAAGGTAGGTTGCTCTAAGTTAATGCTGTCACTAGTAGAGATGACATTTGAATCTTGTTGCTTGCCTCTGGAGCGTAGATTGGCACTCACTTTCCTTCGGAGTGACATGGTTCCTTTCTTGGAGATGGTACATCAGTGCCTTGTCTATAAAAATGTCGCCTACCATCTCTCTATACATACCTCAGTTGGACTCCTCCTGTTACTGCACAAGCCTTGCCCTCTGCATGGTTTGGCCTGACAGTGCTTTGAGTAAATGGACTTGCAAATGAACACTTCTGGAGTGACAGACAGGAAAACTGGAGCAGCAGATTGCAGCTTGTTGGAAGGAAAGCAATCGCTGGGTGGGGCCAGATCCTGGGAGGATTTTGATGTCCCCTGAGGGGTTTGGGCTGGATCTAAGAAAGAGAGAATGGGTAAGCTTTGTAGTGGGGTAGGTGCTAGCAATTGTATTTTAGGAAAAAATGGACTATTAAGAAAAAAGTGACATTTAGGAAAAAAAGAAGTCCAATGCAGCATAGATTTGACAGCCAAAGATAAAGGGGCCTGCAATCTACTTGAAAAATTGGCTCAAGCGTATCAAAGTCATGAACTGTAGTCATTGAGGTTTTGACAAATGACCCCATCACTGTCTCTAATTACTTGTCACTAGAACAGAAGCTACCATGAGTGAGCTAAAGTTACTTCTGTCTTTTTTGAAGAGAGGTGAATGATTGCTTCTATTGATCTGTTTGAAGAAAAAGCCACGG